ATTAAAGTGAAAGCGAAAAGCGTCAGCGATGCGTTTAGGGCGGCAAGCGAAAACTTTTTTCGTGGCAAGGGCACGCGCGCTGAGCGTGAGTCTTGGGCGGGTGGAGTTGGGGCATTGCTGCTATTCAGACAGTTGTTCCCATTGTTCTTGTTGTTGCTGTTGTTGGTCTAGCTTTTTATTTTAATTCCCAAATCGAAAAAGTTTGCCATTGCGATTACACTAAAACTCTAAACGCTCTAAGCGACCCGGCCCAGATTCTGCAAACGAATCTGAGCGCCTTTTAATGTTGGCCCTTCTGCCGGTGGGCGTGGCCGTGTGACTGCCATGTATGTTACTACTAATTCGGCATGTCTGGGAAGTTTCCTTAACCGGGCCCCCAGCTACGCTCCACGTCGAAGCTCATTTTGTATGCCTAACTGTGAGCCGCAACCCAGGCATGGGGAATTCGTTAGAGTTTTCTTTTTTGGGGGAGCTTGCTAGTGGGTGTGGATTAACTGAATGGCTGACTGGCAATAAGCATGCAGCATTAAACGATTACAAATGATTAAGTCAACAACTTGGCGTAAAATTTGTTCGGCATCGTGTTCGCATATCTAGACAGAATGGGGCATACATTAAATGCAATTTTTTTGGCCTTATCTCTACGCATGTATCTGCAGCACTGACACAACCAGATGAAGACAACTACCAACTACTCGCAGCAGTTTTGCGTACCCTCCCAGAACCGCCCGATCTGAGCCGTCCGACCTGGCTATGCAAACAGAATGAAAATTAACCGCATTCAATTCCCCAAGTGGGCCAAGTACATTTTCATCGTTTTCATTTATTATTTAGGGAATTAATTATGTGCTCTGCTTGACATACGAGAGAGCCTCCCCATCCCCATCCCTAACCATCCCCTTCTCTCAGTGCCAGAATCTGGCACATACGCGTAGCTGCATGGCGTGCCCGCCGGCTGTGAAATTTATTCATTGAACCACAATAACGCGAGGGATTGAAATTTATGTTTAAAGTCTTCACAGTGGCGAAAACGGCGAATAACGCGCACTTAAGCCATTCAACGACCACTGTCCAAAGTTGGCAGACAGACCAGCCATCCTCGGCCTTTCCTTCCAACCAACCCGTCTCATTATTTAAAGTTGGAGTCTGCGAAGTGTCTGAAGCCGCTGTCGCTCTTTCAAAAAGTACAATTAAGCCGCGTATACCCTACAGGAGGGTATAACGGAATTTGCTATCAACGGATTTTTTAGAGAATTAATAAATACTTTTGTACTTTGATTCATATGAATGCAGTTAAATCTAGTCGAATCATATTAACGGCATGAATCTCCGCAATTATAAATATCTATACACTTACAAATGTATATAGGTATTTCTTTATTGAATCGAGTCCTGGAGAGTCTAGCCGTGCAAGTCATTCAAAATTTCAGAACCTGAACAACGAACATCCGGATTTAAATGTCTACGTAACATAAACTTACATTATTATATACACAATTTTAATATATTTTAACTTTCTATAACTATAATATATTTATTAACTTTTCTCACTTTCAAAAATTGCTCAGATAAGATAATTATTGCATAAAAAACTATGTACGTGTATCAAGTGTATTCCATCTTCGGCAATTCAATGTAAAAAGTTTTCACTTGTTTCCATTTTTATGTTGTCCTCGCATTTGTCCTCGTCCCAGTTGATCTAGTTTCAGTTGGCGCTTGTTTTGCTCTGCCGGAATGAAAACAAGCGTTTCAAACTGAGCGGCAAGAGGGCGTTGCATATAGTGTTAGCTAAACAAAGTTCAATAATAACGACATAGACATACTCTACACTCAGACAGTCGAAGCGGCAATTAGGGAGTCTACAGCATCAATTGCCATTCATGCGAATATATGTTGCAGGAAATGACTCTGATGTTAATAAATATTAAATGAGAATTGAATATGTAGTTGCCTATTTGGTATCAAACGCTGTTGGCGCCATAATACACCCTATTAGACAGCCAATATTATAGAGCATAGAAGCCAAGTATTGGAAATTCAGTCATTCATTCATTTGAGCACGTTGCAAACTGAATGCCAAATGTCCTTCAGGCCTTTTCTTTTTGCATTTAAGCCTGTATCAGAGGCACTTTAATGGCACTTTTAGTTTCACTAATCGCTTTATGATGATGTCTTCACTATGGCACTGTTTGTGTCCGTGTGTGTGCGTCTATGTGCCTTTATGGTGTCTGCACATCAGTGTGAATGTGGAGCAGGTGGTCTAGTTCTTAGGCGTCTGTTAGAAGCCGCGTCTGAATGGCTAACAGCTGTGTACTAGTTAAAGTTTTTGTATGAAAACAACTCACGTAGTTGTTGATCAAACACGATGCTGCAGGAGGATAAGAGGCTAATGGCTGGTTTATGTTGACTGCAAATAAAAATGACGCGCACAGTAATAAAAATCAAAAGCAAGCGACGTCAATTATTGATTGAGTCGTAGTTTTGGCATTTGCTGTTACTTAGAGAATATAGTTTCTGTCACAGTAAATGGCTTCCTTATTCTCAATTCCACAAAAGTTTATAATTAGCTGCCACTATTTATAATCATGCAAAGCCAAACACATTTTAATGGACGAATAAGTGAGGCAATTATTATATACAATTGCATTCGATTGCATGTCATCAAGTGTAACCAGGTGGGCAGCAAACGGACTTGCAAATGACCAAAAAAGTAAACATAGCCATCGCTTAGCTGACAAACAGTCAGGCTGTCTGTTAGTTAAGACTGTCTATTAAGCTAACTGGCAATTGAATTCCATTGGAATTCCCAGCTAACAAACTGTTTTAAATTTTTTAAGGCCAATTAAGGCGATTCTCTGCTCGAGAGTCGCCGACCACAACAATGTGGCGGGCAGGCGCTGCACGGATTTGGCATATTTGCGCCAAGGCTCGCGGTTGCTAGAAATTTCGTTGGACAGTCTTGACCAGGGAGGGGGCAGAAGGCAGCAGTTGGTTAGAAAATTGCCCGATGGTTGTGCTGTATCTGTGTGCTCAGTGGATTGACGGCCTAATCGAATAGCCATCGACTGGCTGCCGCAAAATCATTTGCCAAGCTTGTTAAACACGCAAGTCTTTTGAATTCATAGTGCAGCTGTCAATTTTAAACCTTATGGCCCTAAAAAGGCTATTATCAATGGAATAGCTGATTAGCTCCGCCAATGAACTATGCGGTGATACACTGAGCATTATATGTGTACAAGTCCTGCAGGACATGCATGCGCGAAAGAGATCAGAAAGAGTTTCGAGCGTTTTGCAATCAAAACTATATGTCATTAGCATATCTATATATGAAATAGATTCCTAAGTAACTTTCATTGGAATCCCATTTGGGGAGTTTCCCTTCAAGTTTTAGTCTGAATTCTTTTTGTTATGCAAAGCTCACTTGGCTTTAATTATTAGAGCTACTTTTATACACATTGTTCACTAACTTCTTTTATCAGTACATATGCTATTAATATCCAATAGCATATTAATTTATATTGCACATATAATTATTTTTGTGTTTTACATACTTAATGATAAAATAAATAAAGAAATAGTGATTGTCTATAAGCCCAACATTGTGTTTTCAACAAAAAGAAATTAAAGTGAATTTCTTTTGTTGCTGACCCGATTTCGATACCAGATGGCAATTAAATATTGTTGAGCGGGCAGCATGGCGTATGCGTAATATTTATCATTCTGTTATCAGCGGACAACCAAATCGCATTACGCATGTACGACATGGCATGGAAAGTATCTTTGAAATATGCCAATGCCTTTAAGGCCGTATTCAATTTTGTTTTCAGCCTCGCAACTTTCCGCCCCACCCGTTCCTTCAAAGCCCCAGGCATGCCATGCTGATTGCCAAACCCAGTCGCCAGTCTGTTTCGGTTCTTTTATGTGGGTTAATGTGACCATGACAAAACTTGACTATAAAACGCTCTCAACTCTGTGTGTGTGCGGCTGTGTGGCGTTGGTGAGCCATTTCGATTGCGAAAAATAAAGCCATTAAAAAACATAAACATACGAAATGCTCGCTTTCAGTAGTTAAGCAGTGTCTGTCAGCCGGACAGAGATCACAATGAAAATAATGCGTGAGAAGTCAGAGGAATGCAATAATATTTACGATTTAAGTTGCGGATTACATTAAGCATTAAATGGGGCAGAACTTCATTTTGAATGGAAATCGTTATATATCTGCAGCTTGTTGCATTCAATGGGTTAAGCGGAACGTTTATGTCTACTTTGATAGATCCTTAATCCTTTGATTTCGCTATAACAACAACTATAAATAAAAACAAATTGGCTGTACCATTATTAACATAAACCAAATTTTGATATTATGATTATGGTGTGGCGCATAAGCAAAAATAATGTTCCGCATTAATGGCAGGGTCTAAAACCCAACGAAGGAATGTAATGTATGTATGTAGTTAAAAAGCAAGGCAAGATCAGATACGTAAATTGAAAATCAAGATAAATAGATAAACAGCAATAGTGATTGAATGGAAGCTACTTGGTTCTCAAAACCAATTTGGCATATAAGTCCTTGCAAAACATCTTATATGTTGACAGACGTGACCAGGTCGACACGCCTGCTCACATATCCCTTGTTTTGGTGCGGGATATAATAAAAATAAATTGCGGTTGCTCTGGCAATGTCCGTACAAATAACTCATAAGTTTTGAAAATATTTTAGCAGAAACATCAGCAATTAAAGTGAGCTACAAAAAAAATGCTTATTGCCTTGGCAGGGCATATTTGCGCCCAAGCCCATTATTATGGCCTCGATGGGAAAAGTTTGCGCTTGAAAGGGTCATTACATAAGAAGAAGCAGAGTTGCCAGTTAGGCAATAGTACACAAGACACATATAGATACATAAGTACATGTAAAACTTTCGACATCGAGTTTTATTTGTGAAAAGTATTTCCAACTAAAATTGACTTCTTTCTTTGCAGACTAAGTAAAAAAAAAAAAAAAAAACCGACAAGAGGAAAGGAAAACCAACATAAAAAGATGAAAGCAGCTTTGCTAAATTCTCTGAATGCAGCAAAGACAGCAACAACAAATACAGTAAAAAGCCCAAAAGTTGAACACCCAAACAATCTGTAAACTAAGGGAAATCAGCCAGCCTAGGCGCATTCCCAACCTCAATTTACAATTCTCAATCAAAAACGCCAAGAGAATTTTTAAGGCGAGCCATTGACAGCAGCTGGTTGCATTTGACATGAAGGCCAACACATGGCCAGGAGCGTCGATCAAAGTCTTCTAATTGAACTAGAGGAAGTGTCAACCTTGACCGCCGCAGCGACAGCCGTAGCCAAATCATCCAGCATGGATAACAATACAGTCTATTCGTACGATATATCCATAACGGACGTGCTCTATCAATGGAGCGCAGCGGCCAGCGGTGCACGTGCCATTGCCCAGTCGGCAGCATCTGGCCCATTGCCCACAGCATCCGTTGCCGCCGTGGCAGAACGTTTGCCAGAGCTTGTCGGCTCAATGCTGGAGACACGCGCCTCCCAGGCCAGCCTCAATGAATCACAATTTCTGCTGGTGGACTATGCGAACAGTATGAACGACAGCCTCGACTATGCCTCCTATCAGCAACAGCTGGGCAGCAGCGAGTGTCGTCAAATGGACGGCAATATGAGCTATTGGAATCTCACCTGCGATTCACCATTGGACTACGCACTGCCGCTTTACGGCTACTGCATGCCCTTCCTGCTCTTCATGACCATAATATCCAATTCGCTGATTGTGCTTGTGCTCAGCAAGAAAAGTATGGCAACGCCCACCAACTTTGTGCTAATGGGTAAGTGCCAAGCGTGGCGATTTATTATATATCATAAGGCTTAAGTGTACATCTGTAGACTACAGTATATCACAATACTCCTTAATTTTGCTGGTTTGCACTTTAAGTGTTAAGCCCATTTTATAAGTCATATAGAAGAATACGGAACTTAGAACACGGGACGAGCTGACAATCCTTTTGCAATAAACTTTATGAACCGACATAAGATTGCGATTGAATGCAGCATTAAAGTTTATCAATCTCAATTTATGTTTCTTAAGTAACAAATATAATCGCACGTAGGGCGTTCTTTTAACGTTTTATTTAATTTGCAGAGAAATCGAGACATTTTTGTGTAAACACATAAATTCATACACATGTACATACGTACATACCAACGCATTTACTGACATACATACATTCATATATAAATACATGCATTAACACATACATACATATATACACACATACACACACGCAAACATATACATGCATACATACTTACATACGTACATACATACATGCATGCATACATGCATACGTACATGCATGTAAATTAAATCTGCATTTGGCGAACAAGAAAATAACTCGGCCATGTCCGGCCATCACTTTTCCACATATTTTCCACCCGTGCCTAAATTTCCACTTAGCAGACTGGTTTCCGTAATCGCTGTAGAAACTTGTACAACACTAGCACCAATCTGTTATACTTTCCTAGAATATTTTTTTTTTAAGTATTTGATTAGGAGTGACAATTGCGCAACTTGAGCTGCTTAACTAAACGTTTCTTTAGATTCAGTTACCACCAAAGTATCGAAAATCGATAATTCTATTGCAAATGATTCGCTCGGTGCTGTTTTCAAGGACGAGGCCCAAAGCATCGCAATCGTTTTAAGTTCAGTCCACACAGCTAGCCCTTTTTCCCCAAACAATTTTATGATTATTACTTATTTTTTATTCCATGTCATTTAATCTGTGGAGTGCCCAGCTCTCCCTCCCTACCCCAATCCCCCTTCTCTGTCCCGGAACACGCACAGATCCATTTAATGCGTCACAATGTTAAATCAGGCAGAAGTTTTGCGAGATTTCAAAATAGCTGCCAATGTGCGTGCCAGGTTTTGCCCCAACACCGCTCTCACGCCTCCCCCCTTCACGACCCTCTATTACACTGAGTTGTGCCACGCGTTCCGCGTGCGGCAACTCCAAGTAATGCTGAGATATTCTAATAGCGTGTGTAATGCTAATGGCTGACTGACTATGCGGCTGGGATGCAGGGAGCTTGTACTTTGTGGCATTTGTCACTGATTTATGAAAAGTCGCTGACGATGGCAGTGGGTAGGGACTATGTACTGGCTGTAAGTGGCTTAAAGGCGCGATGTGAGGCAAAAAGGCTATCAGCCAGAGGATTGTGTCTCGGAGCCAGCCTAACTAAAGTGCACGACAGATAGCCCTCGCAGGCGATTCCGATATCCGGCTAGGGGCCTGTCAATGCTATTTGTAGTCACAGATTATTTTAGTCCAATAACTTTTCAAGTAGAAATATGGGAGCTGAGCGTAAGACAATGTAAGCTACAAAGTATCGCTCATAAGCAACGAGATGACAGTTTGAGGCAATTTTCAGCAAGCATTTCATAACGGACAACTGACAACTGTGGCATGCCACGCCACGCTGCTTGTCAATGGGTTAATCTCATTCAATGCGTGTCGAAGAAGGCGACGTTGGTGGGGGTGGTATGTTGTCCTCTGCAGGAGACGGCTAATCGCATTTGGCTGCCGGCAATGGTGACAAGCACGAGGCGAGCTAAGCGACAATAAATGACAGCAGTCCGAACATGAAGTGAACTTTGACTTAAGCAAGCAAAAGCAAGCAACAAGAACAACTACAGTTGACTGAAACTGAACACGAAACCCCCATGGGGCAAAGGTCGGGACAGCGGTTACCCAGCAGAATAGTGGGAGACACTCAGGCAGTCGGTAGTTCAAGTGGCAACCGATTTTGTCGTTGTGCCGTTCCCCTTCTCGTCTCGTTACACGAGGCGTATGATGAACTTGAACTTTAATGCAGCAACCAAGTAGAATGTAATACAAATAAAAACACAAAGTTGATTAGCTCTTGTTGCCACTGCTGCTGTTGCCGCTGCCAGTGCTGCTGCTGCTAGAGTGGCTGCAACTAATTAAAGTATCTATTTATTTAATTGACTCTTTTAAAACACTCAGCTTCAACAACTGGGAACAAGTTAGTTGGCCATTCCCTTATTGAATTAAAGATTCAACTTGGCCAGCCGCTCGTCTCTCTCGCTTTACTGGCATGGAAAAATATTTCATTTTTCAGGACAGAACTCGCGGTAATTAGCCGATATATCAAATGAGGTAGCAGGGCGATATTCGCACCCGCAATGTAAACAACTTATTTAGCAAGGACTGCAACAATGAAGCTGTGTTTGTTTTTGCCAAACAGCTTTGTTCATTGGCCAGATTTAACAAGCAGACAGATGACTGTCAACTATTATAAATGGGAATCTACTACTATCATGAGCATAAGACAACAAAATCTGGTATTTGACAGCTTATGCTAAAATTGCCAAGAACATGCAAGAATTATCGCTTCATTTTGTTGACTTGTTTATAGCTTAACATATGTTTTATCAGCTATTTTTATTTTCAGACTGACTTCTTTCGAGCAATTGTCAAAACATGACATTAAAAACTTACTTTGCAGTCCATTCAGTGCGCGATAAGTTTGACAGTTGGCAGCTTCAGTAAAGTTAGAATTTTATAGGTGAAGTGTTGCAATATAAAATACAATGTCCTTTAGTTCTATCTATATCCTAAAGCTATGATAATAGTACATTTTCTTTTAATTTGGCCTTGGAAAAAGAGTCACATTCGCAAAAGCCTTTTAAGTGTTGGAAACTACAGTCATTTTATATATGAACTATTGCATAACAAAACACAATGACATTTAATTTTGTTTGTATACTTATCTTAACCTAATAGCTTATACTTCTCACCTATAAATAATTATAAATGAAACCAAATGCCTTTTTGAAGTGTGTTTTAAATTGTTGGCTTAACTGCAAGCCGGGCCTTTGTAAAGGGGCCAAACTAGCAAAAACCAAATTTGTTTTAAAGCCCTACGATGAGTTGGTCATCGCCATCAATCCCCCCAGTCTAATCCAATTTGTCACATTGTTTGTTGTTTCTCTAACACTTCCCTCTCTCTCTCTTTTCAGGCATGGCCATATGCGATCTGCTGACGGTTGTATTCCCCGCGCCCGGCCTCTGGTATATGTATACATTTGGTAATCATTATAAGCCCATGCATCCGGTCTCCATGTGTCTGGCCTACAGCATTTTCAATGAGGTAAACAACAAAATAATGCAAACCAAACCGCAACCACAACCACAACATGACACTGCACTACAAAAAAACTAATACGCGGATAGGTAGTGTTGTTTACTGCAAAAGAAGCAGCAACAGAAGCAGAAGCAGCCTATTTTAATTGTTTGGGCAAGTTCAAGAGGGTCCTGCTTGGCATTGGAGTTGAGTATGTATTGTTTGCTTTTGGCCCTGGGCAAACAACTACTCTAGGACTCAAATTTAGCTCTATGTGGGGCAAGGTGGATACGTGGGTGAGATAAAGACGGGTTGGCGGAGGGAATATTGTAGACGCTCATTGACCTAAATAAAATGCTTGGCTGCAAGTTGGCATCCTTTGTCTCTGCCGCTGCCGCTGCTGATGCTGCTGCTGCTGCTGCTGCTGATGTATGACGCGTTAGCATGTCGGGTCCTGAGGCACAGTTATTGTAGCCTCTACCCTGGGCTGTATCGTTATCGTTATCGTTATCGTTATCGCGTTTGCTGCTACGTTACGTTTGCACTTTGTGTGTCATTTCTGTCAGCATAATGAAAGGCAAAACTTTTATGAAGGCGCAAGTTGTGTCTAGCTTCCACAGTTGCATGTTGCTAGCTGCCACAAAAACTGAGTGCCAAATAGGGGGTACCAGGCACCCGAATTACCGACTCGTACAACATATTCGTACAAAACATTCGTTCATTCAATTCATTCATTCGTTTTCTCATTCGTTCACTTTGCTCACACTTACTTATTTAATCGTGCGCTTTCTACATTATTATGGCCCAAAACTCCCCTCTTCCTCCCCTCCACCGGCTGGGGCACAAATTCGCTGTCCGTTGTCGCACGTTTGCCTTGATTAATCAACATTTTCAATTTATGGCACTCGTTTAGAACAGCAGCAACAGAGAAGAGGTGTGTCGCGGCTCGAGCCTGGGGCCGGGCCGGGGTTGGGGCTGAGAGATGCCAAAAGATGGTGGCATAAAGCAAAACTGTTTACTCACTTCAATGGAGTAGTGTCGAGCTGATAAAATGTGCCCCATTGTTGTCGCCGTTGTTGTTGGCTTTGATGTTGCTGTTATTGTTGCCGCTACGTGCTGTGACCGGGCTCCCAGGGGATTTGTACCAGCTAAATTCCACGCTGTGCCCCGTATTGTAACAAGGGAATGGGCACTAACGGACCGGAGTAGGTTGAGTTAAGCATTCGGATGGAGTCTCTAAATGTGTCTCTGGCTATCTGCGTATGACGGCCATAAAATTCAACTCACATACAAAGGGCTGTAATAACCGCCAGGCGACCATTGCAACTGAAGTTGAAGATTTCGTTACATTTCCCTCGAAATTTATATGCCGCTCGCAAGTCCTGAAAGTCTTGGGCGGCGCGTTTAATGGCCATGTTAATGTGTTAGCCGTGCCGTGTCTAGAGTGGTGCTCCTTCTGTTTAACAAGGAAACTTGCTATCACTCTTAGCTGGAATAATAACATCAGCATTATCAGCAACAACAACAAAAACATCATTACCAACGACAATAACAACCACAATTATGAAACAACTATCTAAGCCCCTAGTCTGGCACTGGGTTGGGTGCTTCTTGTAACTGCAGCTGTGCCTCTTGTCAGAGCTGTCAGATAAATTCCCATAAATCGGATTAGCCCACAGTTTGCTGCACAAATGTAGTTGGTATTGCACTGTGGGCGTAACGTGTTCCACAGCATGTAAGCTGCAAGTGAATTAAATAACAGCAGAATTATTTGAACTGAACTTCTACGAAAGACACAAGGGATTGCGGTAGAGCGGAGTTGAGAGCTGTTGCGGGTTGCAGCTGCAATCCTTTAAGCATTATACCACATGATGCATAAATGCCGCATGACTGACGAGTTTCGCATTTTGCAAATTTTAAAATGCTCCACAAAAAAGATTCATAAAATAGACTTAATTATGCTGAAGCTGGCAACACTTTATGAAAAATACCCTTTAGGTTATGTGGATTAGATTTTTTTTATACTAAAGCTTTATTTTCTACTAATTGCTGCATTGGTGACATATTAAATAGTAGACAGAGATAATAAGGATTTGCAGGCCTTAAAAGGAAAAGGAAATACATTTGCGATCGATCATCCCAAAGGCAGCTATTAAATAACGTGATGCGATCAGGCCGACTTCATTTAAGAAAAATACGAACTGAGTGAATTGATTGTATAAACTACTGATGCAAGTCAAGGATATATATAATTCTGGACTTGGAGATGTCTTCTTCTATGCGATAATCCATTTACAAGGTTATCCAAGTTAAAATATTGTGAGAAGCTAACGATACATTTATGTCTTCGAGTCTGTCAATTTGAGTCGACGCAATTAAAGGATTTGCCAAGTTGGACAAACACAAACGCAATAACACATTAACATTCAGACTTATATTTAACTTGATTAGTCTACGACTTATGTTCTTCTATCTTTTTACAGATTATGCCTGCTATGTGCCACACCATCTCTGTGTGGCTGACTCTGGCGCTAGCCGTGCAAAGGTAAATATGAAATAAACGCTTAAGCTCACATGTTTAAATATGAGTCATTATCTGGCTTAGACTTTGACTCTGACTCTGACTCTGACTGTAACGCAGACGCATACTCCTACTCGAACTGGGCTGAATGACAGCGAGAACTCTTGACGTGTTAATGGCATAATAAATCAGCTGTGGCTCAGTCGACCGCGTTGTCGTGTTGTCAATACACTCACAGCTGGCTTTGCCATACAAATTATGCGCACAAACAAAAAGTGAAGCCTCAGCCAGGACCTGTTTTTCGTCCAGTTAACGCCGCGTATGAGTAATGTGTGTGGAAATGGCCATGAACAAAACACATGCTCAAATATACACACATGTATGTGTATCAGTGTGTGCGTACGTGTTCGCTCAATCAATCGCAATTGTTTTACAAATCTCGTGTTGTCTTTCTCTTTGCGGCCCACTCAAACAAATGAAAGAGAAAGTATGTTGTTGTGCATGTGCAAAGTAAGAATTTCTTCAGAATAACATGCATACCCCTACGAAAAATATATATTTTTAAGCATGTCTTTGCTTCATGTGACTCAAAAAGCAAGGCCTATTGACGATGCACTGTGCCGAAAATACTTGACATGCGGCATTAATTAACTTTAAAAAGTATTTAAATTTAATTTTTTCTAGTTGTGGATAATGTGTGTCTTGAATATATACTGAGACTTTAAATTAATTAAAAAGCAAATATCTAATAATAAAAATAAAATACACTCTTTGATTAAATTGTGAATAAAGTCCCGCATCGCGCACCCACTGACAATGAGTTTTTTACAACAAAGTGTCAATTGGCCGCAGTCCTTAAATTCAAATTGTTTTTCTATAAAGCAATAAATAAACCTACCAACATTAAGGACCGCTCAGAGTGGGTCAATGCTGTAAATGTTTTATGTGTACATAAATATATGTATATATATGTACATAGGAAACCAAAAACAATATGAACAAGTAACAAGTCGGGAGTTCCCGACTAGGGTACACCCTGAACCCTCTTATTAAAACACCAATGGTGATAAAGATAAATTAAAATAAAAAAGTTCCCTTGGGCTTAAACTCATATATGTATATACATGTATACAGAAGTTCTTGGTATTTGGGCTAGCTACCGCAAGTTTCTTAACCGATCTTAACGAAATTTTCTACAGTGTACACGTGGACTACGGGGACCTACAGCTAATACAGCTAATATAGGTTTTAAGATCCTTGAATTCATACCTACGGACGGGCGGGGAGACAGACAGACGGACAGACAGACGGACATGGATAGATCGACTCGGCTGTTGATGCTGATGAAGAATATATATACCTTATGGGGTCGGAGATGCTTCCTTTTGCCTTGTACATACATTGCTACAAATACATTATAACCTTTTTACCCATTTTCAATGAGTTCAGGGTATAAAAACAATAAACTAATATGTATAAAATTGGCAACATAAATCGTGAATGTGTCGGTGTCTGCGCCCTCCGTTCCGCCCACCCCTGCCCTTTGTGGCTGCTCCTGTGAGTGGCAAATGTGTATAAAAATTCACATCTAAAAATTTTCAAGTAGTATAAAGCATGGGGCAAGGACCACTTGAAAGCTGGCGCATTGTTCTATTAACTCATGTGTGGGATCATAAATTTTATAGCTTGCAAATAAAAGAAAAAGGAAAAAAAAAAAACAAAGAAAAAATTGAAACACAAAAAAAAAAAAAAACAGGCTCTGAGCCGAAAAAAATTTCTATGAAAATAGTCATAAATATTTGTGCCATTATGCGACTTGGACCGATTCAAGTGGTCGCTGGATTGTAGTGTGTGTGTGTGTGTGAGAGAGGGTGTGTGTGTGTGTGCTACAAATAGCTAAATAATATGTTGTGGTGGCATGGGACACATTCAGCAGACATCCCTTTGCTCACATTTTCTAAAATGCGTTGAAAATTGCCGGAGGACAAATAGCGCGATAAAACAGTCAACGTTTATTGTTATTATTGCCTTTATTGTTGTTGTTGTTGATGTTGTCGTTGTTGTTGTTATTGTTGTTGTTGTTGTTGTCCTCCTGCTGCGTTCTTGTCAACTTATTGTGTTTCAAGTGATTTCATGGCAAGCAGAAGTAAAAGAATCGTACGTCAAAGTTGGACTCTGGTACAAACTGCAATACTTAACCGTGTGTGCGTCTGTGTAAGGGTGTGGGAGGGTGTATGTGTGTAAATAAAAACGTAAATATAAATATAAGAGAGAACAGCTACTTGCGTCTTGTCGAAATATACACATACCCTGCTAGAATATTAATTATTTCCGATCGATTTTCAATAAAGCGAAGCTCAAAAAATCTTGAAGCACACACAAATGTTTCATTTTCAACTGATAATAACTGATAATTACTATAGCAACCATAAGATATTATTCTATGATCCAGGTTACGTCTACATATTCATCGGCTACAATAGAACTAGATAGATAAAGTCTAGGCAGACAGACTCAGCTTCGGCGACATTTAACTTTCATAGTTAAATGGTATCTGCTACTATGCGGTACGCATTTTATGGGAAAATTTTAGTACCCCCTACAAGTGCACAATTAATAAATAATTAATGAATCTCTAATACAGCGGCAGTAGAAGCTGTGAGGGTGATCGAATCACAAATCCAATAAACTGGATTAAAACCACTTTTCAAGTATAATTTACTAATTAGTCATGCTGACTGAGTATGTGAATGAGTACTTTTGAGTAGCATTCATAAGCGAAATTAACGGTTGTGCAAAGTGTTGCCCAATTACCAAACGAGCGTAATGAATTAGCTGAATAATTGAATGACTATAAATAAATATCAGGCAGGCAAATTGTGCGAAAGGATATTTCCGAAAACCTTAGGCGAATTTTAAATACATTTGTGCTCAGACGTTTTGAAGAATATGCTAATTACTCATACTAATTATTTGGTTGGATGAATCGCGTATAATTTCTTGATTTATTATGCCGCATCGCTGATGAATGCTGGTTGCTTTTTATGGCAAATCAAGCAAATTGCAAGTGGCCAGGAACAAGCAGAACATAGACTTGGGTCAGCCTCATAAATGTTATTCATTCAATTATTAATATCAATTCCATTTGGGGCTAAGCGACTGGCAATCGCTTCGTCCTTTGTTTACGATTGCTTTCAACTTTAATGAAGTCCCCGCTTGACAAAGGTTCAATGAAAGATTGATTGAAAACCATTTTGAAGTGCCGGCGCGGCCAGGACGAGACAGGCCAGGCTAGGCTAGGACACGGCTTCAACTGTGGGCGTGCCGATAATTATGCGCATAAATTAGGCAGGGTAGAGCATTAAGACGACCAAGCAAAGAGTCTAGCAAAGCTGCGGGAGCTTAGCGCAAGCATGCTTTGTGGACCACAACTTTGGCTAGGGTATTTTGTTGGGAATTAGGGAGTTGCCTTCAAGTGCAAACTATGAAGCGGCGCAAAAGTCGCGTCCAAAAGTTTTGGCAAGCTACAAAACATGCGCGGCAACATCGTACCATATCCTGGCCAGATTGGGGCAGGGACCCCTTTCCACACAAATTAGTCAAATTACAAAAATTATGAAATTATAAAGCGCAAAGTTGATTAGCTTTCCTTCAGATTGGGCTTTGATTGCGTGTGGTCCTGGTTCACCTGGCAATCGCTGGCTAGCGACAGGTGACGAGATTGTCAACGCGTTGCTATCATAAATTGAGACCAGCAAAATTGTGTTATTCCATGGCCAGCCAGAGGCTATAACATTATATTAGGCGAATGCGCAAAGGCAACGTTGGCGTTTTTATGCCTTAACTCGGCTAACATTTCATGAATAAAATCCATTGCCAGACGTTCTAATGGCCGCCAAATAAATTCCAACTAGATGCATGAGACGCACAGAAATTCACATTAAAGATTTGACCATAGATTTAATAAATAAAATATAGTACACAGCTCTAAGCTCAGCACAACAGCAAGTTCTTTAACCCTCTATTGTTCGGCTGAACTTATTATGGTTATCACTCATTCATTTTTCGATAAGCTTATCGATATTGAAAAAATCATTGTTATATTGAACTCGAATAAATATGTTGAAACCTACACAGACAAGGACATTCAATGACACTGTAAACTTTTTAATTACAGGTACATTTACGTCTGTCATGCTCCGATGGCACGCACCTGGTGCACCATGCCGCGAGTAAGGCGTTGCACCTTCTACATAGCCCTGCTGGCGTTTTTGCACCAGCTGCCGCGCTTTTTCGATCGCACCTATATGCCCATGGAGATCGAGTGGAACGGCAACGAGACGGAGGTTTGCCATCTGGAGACATCGCTGTGGGTGCATGAGTACGTTGGCGTGGATCTCTATTACACCAGCTACTATCTATTCCGAGTACTATTTGTCAATCTGTTGCCGTGCATTATTCTGGTGACGCTCAACATTCTGCTGTTCGCTGCCTTGAGGCAGGCGCAGGAGCGGCGCAAGCTGCTGTTCCGCGAGAACCGTAAGAAGGAGTGCAAGAGGCTGAGGGATTCCAATTGCACCACTTTGATGCTGATTGTTGTCGTCTCGGTCTTTTTGATTGCTGAAATACCGATTGCCGTCGTTACCGCTATGCACATTGTTAGCTCGCTGATCATTGAATTCCTGGACTATGGTATTGCCAACATATTTATAATGCTGACCAATTTCTTTTTGGTGCTTAGCTATCCAATTAACTTTGGCATATATTGCGGCATGTCGCGACAGTTTCGCGAGACATTCAGGGAGATATTTATGGGGCGCGTCGCTGGTAAAAAGGAGAGCTCGTCCAAGTACTCTATTGTGAATGGCCCCCGCACCTGCACCAACACCAACGAGACTATCCTCTAGTAATTGGTGATGTTGGTGCCGCGGCGCGGCAGCAGCGACCAGCGTCGTGGCACCGCCGTATGCACCGCCGTTGCCGAGGGCTCCGCCGTGACCACGTCGGAGGCACAGGGCAAAGCGCCGCAGCATCAGCATCTGCAGTTGCATCATTACCATCATCATCATCATCATCGTCGGACAAGCAACATGGACATCATAACCGAGGAGCGCAATGTCTAAGGTTTACCCACATTAATTTGGCTCCGTGGGCGCAGGCGGTGCTCTCCATGGTAAAGATCATTTGGTAACTATATAAAAAAAATGTGCGAATTCTCTGGTTTCAAACCAACTAATTAAATGTTCCACTGAGTACGAAAAAAATTGAATAGCTATGAATTTCGATTTCTTAACCCTTTTGCCAAATAGAATATTTCATTGGCTAACACCTTTATGTCTGTGTGTGTACGTGTGATGGAATATACGACTTGATATCCAAATGCTATATACACTACTATTAATCTTTGATCCCAGATTATCAAACTTACGGTATTCATATACTAACCAAAATAAAAATAACTAAAAAATAAATCTAAAAACCATACAGATTTTAGATGTTCAATGTTTGTTCAAGTTCACTGATTAAAATGTTAAATACCTATTGAAATATGTGTATTTATGAATGTGTACCAAACTATAAAATATATATTACTAAATATTAAATATAATGAATCACAAGAATACGTTTGAAATTAGCATTAAAGTCTACTGAAACTTCAAGTTTATGGAGAGAAACTTGATTGGCTTACAATAAAAGAAAGAGATAAAAATGAATTAAATGGTTAAAGAATTGGCAAATTTGAAGTGATAGCTAACTTGAATAAATTATAAAATATACTTCTTATAAAATGATGTAGAAATAAAAGGGATGTTTAAAACTACAACTAAGCAAGCTCTGATAACCATATACAAGAATTAGTTATGTACGAATATATCTATACCTTATCAAAACAATTTTGAAATTCTTTTTAAAACTAAAAGAAAAATAAAATATATAAATAAAAATTTATTGAATACAAAATTAATTACAGGAACCGCATGGAATAGTGTAGTATGTATCCAACTAATAAATAAAGTAAAAATAAAAAGAAAGAAAGCAGAAACTGGCCTAAAAAATATTTATATAAATAAATATAGAAGATGCTAATCCAAAAAGTTTATTTTTGTGTGATTTTTGTGCGGCATTCGTAAAAGTTATTGTAAACAAAAAACCAATTAAACTTTAGCAATAAGCTGATTTTGTTTAAGTAAAAACTAATCGTAAGCTAAACAACAGACACCCAACGAAAATATATGAAACTCATTTAAATTTGTAAACCTTTTGAGCCCCAAAGTTTACGGATTTAAATGACAGGCAAATATTTTCAATAAGTAAAATCAATAACACGAATTTCAAGTTGACAAAGCAGCAGCAATAAGTTTCAATCTTTGGTGTTTGCAAGTAAAATAAATATATCCAAATATATATACACATATATGTATTTGAAAAAAAAAAAAACTGAAAATACATTCAATGATATTTAACAGTTTTAGGATTTTTTATGTAATATTTTTTTTTTGCCTAGATCCTAAGAATTATAGGCACATATACAAGTACTACATACATATACATATATAAATGTAAGTAATAAACCGAATCAATGTTGATATGTCTGTGTACAAGTATTTATTAAAAAAAAAAAAAAAAACAAAATGATACAAATTTCATGTTTAAATGTTTTAAATGGATGTCATTTAGTGGAATAAGAAAAAAGAAATATGAATAAACCAAAACTTCAAGTTTTCTGTCTGAATGGAAATAACTTTTACGCGTTACTTTATTTAATCTTGCCTTATTTTCAATTCTCATTTCAGCGAATATCATGCCAGAGATTCTTAAGTATTTTGGCGTCATTTTAAAATTTATCCCAGCCTAATATCTCGTGCTAACACTCGAGCGGACAATTCCTGATAGCTTTTGTTCAATTTGTAAATTTATGACCAATTCCTTATCGTAATAAAAATTAAATTGAATATGGATTTATAATAAATAATACAAAATTAATTAGCTAGCGAGAACATATTGACGCAGGTCATTATTGCAAAAACACTAATTCGTATATGTTTTTATATACATCACAATACAACTGCAAACGCGATAGTGGAGGCGAGCAAGTCAGAGACGGTGAGAAAGCGAATGAGAATCGCAAAAAGCGCATTTCATGAGGAGAGTAATAGGAGGAAAACGTGCTGGAAAGTCAAAGGCATAACAACATGTTAGCAACTTGACTACATGAAAATCGCATACAAGGGTGATTCACCTTAAAAGTTAACAGGCCCAGTTTCAAAGCCAAATGAGTTAAACACAACTTGTAATAAAAGAGATTAGAATGCAACAAATAAACTTTACAGAGCAACATATGTATACTCTGTCGTGCGTATATAGAAAATAATATACGTATTTTTCATTTTTACCAGGGTTAAAAGCATAGGTGAGTTATCAGAGAGCTGAAAGAAAATGTATCTCGTAAATGCCACATCGAATGTCGCTAGTTTCTAAAGCTTTTGCGATGTTTTGATCATGTTTATATTTAATACAGCTGCATTTATGCATTTGTATTTTTTTTTTGTTGTTCGATAAACGGCATGTGCTTAGAGCCTTCATCAGCTAGTACAACTGACAGGTGTTCCGTATCTGGGTCCACTCACAGCCGAAGGCGCGTGCAAAGGGCTTGGAGCTGGCGACGGCATCGTTAACCCGCTGCCGGCTACCGCCATGTAGGCTGCTATCCTCCAGATCCGGATCGTCCTGACAGAAGAACTGGGCAAAGTTAAGAAAGAAATGCTGCTGCACTGTGTGCCTCCCTTCAGATGAATTGCCGTTGTCAGCCGTGGCACTTGAGGGCGTGGCGTTGTTTGACTTAAAATAGTTGTCATAGGCCAAGTACAACCCATTCACATCGGCAAATTTCTCATCGGCCATTTGGTCGTGACGACGAAGCAGACAAAGCCTGTGACTGCTAAATCGCCGATTGACGAGCAGGCGCAATTTTTGCTGTCCTCTTGCCTTATTGCCACGCCCATCGTAAAACACATCGGTGGGCGCAAAGCCATGCGATAGCTCGTGCGCGAGCAGAAAGCCCAACGCGCTATGCGTGTAGACCTCCGCCTGATGTGGTCGGTAAAGGTTAGCACCCAGCAGCGATTGCGGTAGGATTACCAAATTACTATCAGGCAAAAAGAACGGCGAGGCATAGCTGCCAAATCCATCAGACTGCAGTAAATATAGTTCGTTGTCAGTTTCCATATGCGTTGCCCTGTCAGCAGCCGCCGCCGCCCAGCGCTCGACCTGGCCCAACATGGTCAACAAATTGCCATAGTAGTCACTGGCATTGAGCTGCAGCTGTGCATAGTGCGCCTCAAGCGTTTGTTGCTGCTGCTCCGCACTGCCCAAGGGCAGCACACCGACGCGCAGTCGCATGCGCTTCAGTTTCTCGAGCAGAAAGCGCTGTGTGGAGGGCCTGAACTGATTGCGATTGTCTAACAGCCGCAGCTCAAATCGGTGACGCAGCTGCTCGAACAGCTTATGCATTGTGGCATTCGTGAGTTGTCGCTGCTCCAGCGGCTGCTGCTGCTCCAGCAGCCAAACAGCAGCATGGGTCAGCAGCTGGCGCGACTGCGCGGCACACTCTTGCCGCCCAAATGCCGGCGCGGGAAGAATGTCCAATTTGTGCAGCAGCCGCAGTTGCAGATACCGTGCGACGAACGGTGCCGGCTCCGCTGCCAGCATATCGGACGCACAGCGCACGTGGGGCTGCAATTGAAGTGTCGTCAATAGTTCTGGCATTTCCAGTAGCTGCAACCAGTAAAAAGCGGACGGCATCACCACATGCTCCTCATCGTGCTCGCTTTCGCGTAACTCCCCAAACAATTCTCTAATGCCACAAATCAATAGCTTCTTCTCCAGCTGCTTGACCTGCAGCCACAGCTTACCCTGTGGCACGCCAAGCGGTTGTAGAGCGTGATAAAGTTGTCTGAAGCGCGTGCGATTTAATGGCTGAAAGTCATCCAGAAGTTCAGCCGGTAGAACTGGCCATGGTGGTTGCAGCTGCAGCAGCCACAGCTCTGCATCCTTAAGCTTCAAAGATTTCGACAGTGGTTTCCGTTCATTTTCGTACTGCCACATGGTGGGGAGCCCATAGTTCTTTATTAAGCGCAGCAGTGGTCTCCAGTCATTTTCCTTGGTCTCCATATCGACATGACTGAATTCGCGCAGCCAGCGCACAAATCGCCCCACATCGTAGCGTTCATTGAGGGCTCGACAGGCCGCATAGCTATCGCGCAGCAGCTGGACAAAGCGAGGCTGGCCAGGGGATGGCGGCTGATCCAGCAACAGTGCCAGCCGCTCATGGTACATATAGTCCAGTTGCTCCAACTGACTGTTGTAAGCGTCAGCGGCATGCGCCTGGGACCAGCCACCGCAGGCATGCTCATAGAAATCCACACACGCATCGGCACTGGCGTTCATGTGGCGCACCAAGTAGCCGGGCAGCCTTTGACTGGCATTGCTTACCACAATGCTGACGAAGATGGACAGCAATAGCGACTGCAGCTTGCACATTGCACGTACGTTGCCCATGAAAATAGCGTGTGAACTGCGCAACACCATTTGCCGATGCGATCGATGATAATGAGGCAAGCGCAGTGCTTTTTTAAAGCCGGCAGCGCTGACGCCAAATGCCCCCCTTGATAACCCACTCAGAGGCTGCTGCTCTGATGACATCATCGCCTTCAACTCAATGAGCACCGATGCGCAGGGTAATTAATATATTACCTAACAGAAAAGCGAACTACGCAACTGCCAATAAAGCTGAGTGAGTGTAGGTGATATATGTATTGTATATATTATTATATATATTATATATACAGCGGATATTGCCTTGCCCGTGCAACGTTTTGTGCTAAAAATGTTACTTTCCACTTCCCACAATGGCTTCAGCAAAAGTTAGTGTTGCGGTGGGAATCTTAAAGCTGAGGAATAAACTTTCGTTTATTTGACCTTTGACCAGCATTTGCCACCCAATAACGCATCAAATAAATTCTTTCAAAGATATCTAAAAATGATTTTAGGGCCGATCGGATGATAAGCAAAAAACTTGAAATCGCATTTCTATAGAGAAAGTTCGCATTATGCGAAAATTGTGAAACGCGTCTCAAATGATTTTTCATATAAATCGATGCAAATGAATTTGAGCGCGTTCAGTCAGTCAGAACAGTTTTATATTTAGAGATTTGAAGGTACTATTTTACATGAATTTTGACCATATATAATGTTGACAGATGTAGATACCAAATTGATATTGAGGCCGATTCATGAACAATGAGACAAACCTCGAAATTGAATGAGATTAAACCTAGTAATGGAGGTTGGAAATTGTGACTTAAGTCTATACATGAATTTTCCATTCAAATGAATTTTGACCTAGAACAATGTTTCCAGATTTAAATGCCAAGAAGGGCCAAGCCATACGGGTGTGAAATGTGGAACCATGTCTACATACGCTAAAAGGGGCCTTGCCCGTGGCACATTTAAAAGGACGCGTCCCTCAAAGATCTTTGAAAATGAGTTAAAACCCGATCGGACGATAAACAAAAAATGGTTAAGCAACCGCTTTCGCTAATTTTCCACTGTTTCGAGCGGAATTTCCCTAATCGCTGAAACAAGTCTTTATTAAGTTCGTATGTAGAGCACGTCTCAAATAAATCCTTAGAAATTAATTTGAACGCGAAACTTTACCCAACAAATTTTAGCTTCTTAGCAATGGTTGAGGATTAAGTTATTTAGGTGCAGAGCCTACATCTCCTTTATAAAGCCAACTCATATTTTTTTTTTTCAAAGGGTAGCTTTTTTCAGCTTAAACCAAACCCATCTTTTTTTAGTCTTTCAAAAAACTTGTTCTCCTTATTTTTTAATTCATAATACACTCTTTATTTATATAGCTTACATTAAATTACTCAAAGCTTTACTTTTCGGACGGATAATATGTGATATTATTCGAAATTTGTATTTTCTCATAAAGCCTTAAGCCTTTAAGTTCTATATTGTAAAGTATTAAGTGCTTAGGTTGACACTCGATTTGTCGACCATTAATAAAAAAAAAATAAAATTACTTAACCCTAGGAATTTACCGCAAACTGACAGAATATCTTGTCTTACAAAGCAGAAGACAGGAATATTGCAGCCACTTTAGAGTTTTTGATTAATGACGGGCCAAAATTCATAATGTTCCTTATTTCTATTCATGGGCAACATCCACAATTTATATAATAAACTGAAAGTTTTTAAGCACAGTAGTTTGTGAGCCAAAATTCAAGTAGATTTTAATTTGCATAAAACGCTTCACGTTTGCCACTGATTTAACTGTTTTTTGGTAACACGGCCACGGCCATGGCCACGTGGTGGCTTCGCAATGTTGCCTACTGGTATACAAAATGCGTGCGACAACTATGACAAGCTGAAGTGAAATGTTAAAGGAAATGGAAAGCGAGGAGGCAGCAAGAAAGGGTCCATAAACAAAACTGCAGCACACACAAAAAATGCAACGAAAATGGGAAAAGGCTGCGTCGTTTTCTCATTCAGATTTAATGCACTTTCCACTGAAGTGTTGCCTGCCGGGCGGTCCGGACAGCCGGTGGGTTGCCATGGGCGGGTCGATGGGCGGTGGTCGGTGGGCGTTGGGCGTTGGGAGATGGGTGCTGGCTGCACTTGAAAGCTCTCATCAAAGTCATGCGATTTCGTTGGCTTTTAGCCTTTGGCATTTGTGTGTGTATGTGTGTGTGCGAGCGGGTGCGTGTGGGTAAGTGGCATTGCTCACCAAGAAACTGTCCTTAGATTGTGATGAAAAAACCCACCAAAGTGCAGTTGCCACACTTTTGCAGCAGCTGCCGTTGCCGTTGAGATCTCCACTCAACTGCCACGCATGCGACTTTGATGGGTCCTGTGGCAAGGCTAACCACACTTGGGCATGAGCTATTTATAATGGCTGCAGCTTCCAATAAAATGAATGAATGTATTATATAAGACGACAACATAGAGGAAGCAACAGTAGCAAAACAGCAGCAAAAAAAAACTGATAAATTGTAAGCCTTTTAACGCAACTAGCGGCAGCAGCAGCAGTCGCCCCAAAAAGTAGGCAAGAAATATGCTGCACATGCCTCATTTATTTTGCTTCAAATTGATTGACGCCAACGCACAGCAAATGTGTATGCGAGGCACAGTTTCATATTAAAGTAAACAACAACAGCATCAACAGAAACACCAACAACAACAAGAACAACAGCATTCATACGGGGCCAACAGATAATCAATCAGATGCTGCTTATTGGCTTTTCAAAATGCGTCTAACAAAATAAATAAAAGTCAAAGCGACAATGTGGCATGTTATGTTGCTACAGCCGCCACAAAAAAGGGGCACACAACCAGAGAACCCACACCCAGCATCTCCAACTCACACCAACCAAAACCCAGAGCCTACAAGTAAGTCGTGCCCAAGGCTGGACCCACAAAAATTGTTGTTAGCCGCCGCCTAATGCCAATTTAATACTATGTGTGGCTTTAGCATGCACGTGTGTGTGTGTGTGTGTGTTTAAGCCTGCGACTTAGCCCATGACAGTGTCCAAGTATCGATAAACAAACATAATCAAAGGCAATTAGGCAATTTGAGTATTGTTTTTGGTCTCTGGCTGTGCGGCCAACGGTGTCTAATTAATTTTCAATAGAATTTATGCACCTAACAAACAGATACTTACACACACACATACACACAACCGCACATAAGCAACAATAATGGTAATATCATCAGCTCTGAGGCATGTATGAAATTTGGACTTTTCATTAAATGGAATTACGGCCCTGGGCTATGTTTATTGGACTCACTTTTAAAGTCGAGCTTACCAAATATTGAGTTCAGCTTGGGCCTTATATTATATGCAGAGTGTTAACCACAGTTGTTAAGAAAAATTTTTGTATATTAAATAAAATGTGTTTATTTTATTGTTTCACTAGCGGTTATTAGATCCACATATCAAATAACATTTTAAATAAGTATTTGAAAACGAGTTTGAAGTCGAGTGCATGATACAAAAAATAAGATTGCAATCAATTTCTTGTGGGTCGGTCATCAAAATTCGTTGAAAAACTTACTTATTCTCTTGTAACAGGTGGTCTTACTTATTTCCACCTGCACGTAGGGAAACTATGTGAAAAACACTTGCAACAAGCTCTTTTGTCGATCATTCCATCGAATTCTTTTCGTAAGCTGTGCGCACAAAAACTAAACGTTCGCTCATGTTACATGTTAACCCAACATTCTATCCAGGAAGGCGTTTCGAAGAGTGTGAAAGTTTGAATTCAATGGAATGATTTTCCACTAATTTTACACAGTGGCAGGTGACACTTTTTGACGGCAATGCGAACTCCTCTGCTTCTTATAGTTTGAAAATATTAAAATGTTTGAAAGCAGAGTTTTAAAACTGTGTATCCCCTGCATTTTTTGGCTATATTAACGTAATTTTGAGAGCCTGTGGGAACATAAGTATCGATTATAATCGACAAGAATTTTATATGAACTGAAATGCTTAGCATGAGACTGTTTAAAAAAAAAAAAAAATTTATATTAAATAGAAATATCTTCAACAATTTTTGAAGATTGAAACCAACATCCTATGACAGCTTAAGGGGTTATTATTGATATAATTTAATTAGAGCTGTTGCCTTGTTTAGCTCGTATCTGTGATCTGAAGCCTAATGAAAGTTTCAACTGTCTTTCATTTGTGTTAATAGGTTTCATATCTCTGCTCTGGGCTATTAAGGCAAATTACAAAATTACAAAACGAGCGAATGTTAACAGAAACTAAATAAAAACGGATGCCAAAAGACGGCAAATGGCAAATTTCCCTTGCAATTAAACATAAAGCCCGAAAACCCCTAAAACCCAAAAACGCTCAGACAAACCGCAGACAAATTGCAAAGCCCAGAAAAAAAAGTAAATATATAAAAAACAAGAGAAACTCCTATTTTCAATATGCCGAATATTAAATACCCTTGTAGAATTAATTCTTACGAGCTGACAGAAATGTGTATGGTTTAGTGAAGCGCTTAAATGCTGAGTTTGCTTAAGCTGATAATATTTGGATCATATATAGGATGAGGTCCAATATGTACTGCATTTAACAAAAAGACAGATTGACGCAAAGTTATGTGATAGATAGCTTTAAGACTGAGAGACAAGTTTACATATAACCATCAATCGAAGATGTTTCCTTCTATGCGTTACACACTTGATGAAAGAATTAAAATACCCTCAAGAAGAGTATAAAAATGGCGGCATGCATTTAAATTAAAATCTACCCAGCCGCCGGGCGTACGCTTTGTCTGACCCTTTGTTCGGTGCGCTGGTACTGGACCAGGTCCTGGCCCTGGCCCTGGCCCCGGCTCTGGTCCGGCTGTCCTTAATTGCAAAAGCCTCGACACAACAACAAAGTCAACAACGACAGCAGCAACTACAACCACAATGGGCAACACACACAGACACACACACACAGAACTATCAATTGTGAAATGTGGTTGTGCACTGGATGAGCTTTTGGCACATAATTAGCTATGAATGATGGAAGCGCTTTCGACGTGCCCTCAGACTCACTTAAAGTCCAGCTATAAGCCCCATTTTAGATGGCGCTACATGGCCAGAAGGTCAACAACAAGAGCCACCATTTTGTTGCAATCTAACCGACAATGTGTGGCCAAAAGGGTCAGCAGAGCATTTGTGGTTTTCTAAGTCTCTTTGTTTCTTAGAAGGCTATCAAAAGGTACCGAAACGATGGCTCGGGTCACATAGGGACAAGAAAGCGCACGACAATTGATTCAATAAATCGAATTTGCCATTTATAATCGAATTTTATTGAAATTCCGTTGAATTTCAGAATTTCCCCTTGTTATGTGACGCACAGTCGTAGACGTCTTCGGTTCCATAAAGGCTATATAATTATATATATAAATACATATATACATAAATATATTGGATCAATATTGGCCGTCGAGTTAATCTATCTCTCTTTCTCTTGCGCCGACAAGTGGCTAATAAGTGGGTCACATTGTTTGATTCGAATCATTTATTAACTCCTAAAAGCGAGCATGACAATACCGAATAGTGTTAAATGATGACTCGCACTTTTGTCATTTGGGCGCTTCTAATGCATTGGCGGAAACAATGAACGCAACCCCCGAGCTCCAAGTCTTCAGACAATGAACGGCAATTTGGCTTGAATTACTTTTGCACCAAAATGCCTGAATCATGTCTAAATCTTTGCACTTAAGTTTTATACATTTTTCAGTAATATATCTGTGAGTTTATCCTATTAAATTATCTGGTGCCCAGATCAGATGAGGTAAAACGATTAAGCATGGCATGCATGTCCGGCAAAGCTATGCAAGTTTTCTATAACTTTATATTGAATACGATTTCCATTTGTGTACCCATTTCTCTACTAGTGTATATATTTTAGCATATATATTGTTGAATATTCCAATTTCGAGTTCTATTCCTGTATTTGTATTTCTAGTCACCCGGCAACTGGGTCGACATAAATATTTAATGAGGTGAGTGTCCAGGTGTGAGCGGCCATTAGCATTTCGCCCATAGAGCTGAGCACGCGACAAGGACTTTAACCCGGACTGATGGAGGGCGGGAAGGAAGAAGGGAAGTGTACGGTACACGGACGGAGAGACGGACAGCACGGCATTTGTCACGACTTGTATAATCAAAAGGTGTTTCTAATTTATGAATCAACATAATTAGCTTTAATAATATGTTGCCGGCCAGCGTAAATTAGTTTCGCTTTTGTGTATATGTGTGCATGTGTGGGCGGACAGTGGGGCGGCCGAGCTTAAATATGGGCGTGTGTTGGTCTGAAATTTAATATTCATATTAATTAACAGAACTGAAAATGCGCCGTGATCATAAGAGCAAGAGATAAGCAAAACTGTGATTAATGGCATATCGTGAACGATTGTTAACTGTGACTGTGAGGCGGAAATAAATCACAGGAACTGCGTAAAAGAGGCGCGTACCAATCAAATATATATTTAAATATCCCATAGCTATTCATACCAAATCAATACCATGACAACATATTTATGGGGCTGGGTTTTCTATTATTAGCAAGATTCAATTAAACTGAATTCGGATGCCAAAAGTCTTTTAATTAAATCACAATTTATTGTGTACCAGGCTATTTTTACAAAATAAAAAATCAATTTTCCAAGTACCTCAGGTCCTAGAAAAGTTGTTGACATCCTTCACATTGCGCCTCTAGTAGATACAAAGCAGATAATAATTGTTCTAGGCTTCGAGTGTTGCAAGTAATTTGCAAAAAACTTTTGCCCCAGTCTCACAACCATCTACGTGGACGTCGTCGTTGTCATTCTCGTTGCCCCAGCTACGTGGCGCATGTGTAATTTGTCATGTGTAATGCAATAAACTTTGGACACGAAATGAAAGCTAAAACCCCGAAACCGTCGCAAAGGCAAGGATAACACTTATGTATATATCTTTGGGTGCCCTTCGTTGTTTTATTGTAGGTCTGTCTGAAGAGAGGCCACTGTCCGTATGCCTGTATATCCGTCTGTTCTCTTTTTGCCCAGGACAAACCGAAATATATATGCAATTTCGGTCAATTTGTCATGATACTTAGCAGTGCGTTCTGCAGCAATATCATCTATTAATTAATTAGTGCTTCGTTAAAAGTTACTCTACATGTGGCCCAGTTTTCAGTGCCAGGCAATTGTAATTCGAGTGCCTTGGGCCTTGCCACAATGTGTGTGCACGTTGCTTGGGAACACAGTCTAAGTGAATGAGTAGCACTTTTATCGTTTATCGATAGCACGCAGAGCAGGACGAGACAAGTTGTCATCGCTCTCCACTGACAGCACAACAAAGCCTGCCATATGACAGAAGACAAAGCCACAGTAGTGGGCGCTGGGCCCGAGGAGAGCTCTGGCCTCAACCTGAGGGCATTTGCGCGTCACATCCATGTGAGGCGACTGCGGTTTTGTGGCTGGGCAGCAAATCCCAGAAGCATCAGGCTAACCCCGACAGAGTACCATGGGCGAGGAACGTGTCAATTAGTAGAAGCGAACGCCTTTCTCGCATTTTTTGAGACAAGCCGTTTGTATTGCATAGATTCGCATGGAAATTCACTTCTGCTGCACATTGTACGACCCGCGGCGCATGTGTCAAGTGCCACAACGCGTATGTGTATTAATCTATGCGTGTGTGTATGTGTGTGTGTGTGTAGCCGTGAGTGTGCGTGTGACTGTTTGTGAATCGCTGCGCACAGTAGCCGTCATTTAATTTCACGCTTGCCAACCACGATATGCCCCCATGCTCGTGGCCCCGTTGGCCCCGCCCAGCTGGGCACCTAGCAGCAACAGCAGCAGGTTGCAAATATTTTGCAGCACTATAATTTTGTTAAAGTCCAGTTAGTTGCTAATGTTTTTTAATTTAATTATAGCCCTAGTCGTGTAGTCCACAGTCAGGGTAAACAAAATTTGCATTTGCACTGGAAGTGGCTACATAAATGTTCGTGTTTGTGGACCGACCGGGCGGCTGTGAAAGGGTCAACCATGCTAATAGATTGTGGGAGAACTGGCAGCTGCAAATGTTGTCATACGTCTAAGTATACCCTTTTAACTAGTGTGGAAGTGAGTATGCAACATGGCACTTCATCTTTAGAGCACATTATTTAATTTTAATTATGAGGGTTAGTTGAAGTAGAGAAGCGATAGAGAGCATGTGGAAACAAGAGCATAAAATGTCTAATGCAAATTCAAATTTTCTCATCAGATCAAGTATGTTTAGTTGAAGGGCTCAGAAAACTTTGAAACCTTATATAAATAATATATAAAATATAAGTATATTCACACTTGCAACATATGTTAGATATACATGTAACAATATTTCTATCGAATACTCATGATCATCAACTATGTAGATCTGTAGGGCTCAGAGAACCTAACATTATATTTAAACAATCTTTCTGTACGGACATTTCTTGCAAATGATTAGCGAATGGAATTGAATTCATAAGAAACAGTATTTTACATATTTTCGTTGATAACAGGGTATCTACATAGTTCCCCAGCACTTAGTTCTGGTATCCTTTTGTTGTTAGCTTTATTCTGCAGCTATTGCGTTCGGCCAACTAAAGCTTGCGTTGCAAAGTGGAAACTGCATCAGGTGAGTTTCTAAAGTAGAGCCCGTGCCCGAGCCCTAAACCGCATTCGCAACCGCACCTACAGCCGCATGCGCCGAACCAAATACAAGGAACATATAGTAATCTGTGCTATCGCGCCATCGCCCATGCTGCCAGTGGCCGTTGGGCGTGGCATATACTAAGCGAGAGTAAAAGCAATTCGACCACAACAAGCTACATCGGATGACAACGGCCACACCCGCACTACCAGCCATTAAGGCGCCCAAAAGGGTTCAACAAAGCTACCCTATGGACTCGAAAGACTCGATCCGGCGGTCTGCTACTGACTGCAATATTAGCTGGTGGGAAATGCAGCAAATGGAGTTTCGACAAAGTTGCTGTCGCGGCTGCCAGACACTTGGAATTGAATTTGTATCATCCAAACGCAAAGGCTGCTCTTTGTGTTTATTTGATCTGTTGTCATGGTTTTGGGACTGTCAAAGCTGTCCATCCACTTTGGCTCTAAGTCTGAGTAGATATTTGGTAAAAATCCTTTTAATTTATTATTTATTTTGCAAAGGACTAGGACAATGAGTTTGTTGTAGATCAAAGCAGCTACTGCTTTATAAGCTTACCCCGAAAGCTGATTGCCCGCTTCGAATTAAGAAATAATCCGGATACCGAACATGAGCCTCAATAAACCAATTGCATAGATATTGCCAATATTCAATAAAAAATTAAGCTCAATAATAAGTCATATGTATTTGAAGATCTGGTCGAAAGTTTTTACTTTCAAACGATGCGTAAACTGGGGGGCATTCGAAACTTTCTTCTGGCAAAAACTCGCTGCCTTAATCCTTGAGGCTTAAATTGTATTACGGAAAACGGTCCAAGGCTCCCACAGTGCAGTGAAACTGATTCCTGGAACTAGTTTTACTCAAAGAGTTTATAAGCCTCATTTATTCCTTGAAATAAACAGCGTTCATTTCGTAATTTCACATTCTTGGAATCATTTGGGACAAGATTTGGTTCGGGCTAAATTTCCTGTAATAAATGCTATTTGCATTCAATAATCAAATTGCGTTCAGGTCTGAATCCGTGCTCAACTATTTTGTCCTCATCTTAAGTCGAACTTAATGCTAAAAAAAGGACATGAGCCCATGGAAAAAAAGGTCATCGGATAGGCGCCGGGATGCATGCAAATATGTGATAACAACCATCTAGGTGACTAGGTTGCCCCAGACTAAGCCCCTGCACATAATTATCAAATGCTCTGCCTGACGGAAATTGAGGCAAGCATCAAAGGCCAAATAAGGCGCCGTTTGCGACCCTTGAAAAAAAAAAGACGACTACGACTCAAATCACTAGTAAATAGGTCTACACCAGCTGATACCCTGTGCTTACCTTTCGCTTGTAAATGGCAATGCCTTAAACTAGGTTTAAGCAAACGAGCTGATCGAACCCGGATTTTCAAAACATTAAGAAGCAAACCATTCATTAAATGAAATAAATATAACAAGAAAACATGGTTCGAAACAAAAGCAAAAATCATTAGTGTAAGAAACAGGTGCATGTGCGGCACACAAAGCAGAGTATTCGAACAGTAAGATATGAAAACAGATTGAAGTTCTTTTGAAGACGATTCGTAGTTTCTGTCTGTCACAAACATTTGTCCAACTATACAAAACCTCTCTTTAATCCATGCCTATGAATTGAGGGAAAAGAAATGGTAAATCTGCCGGATAGTGTTTGCCATTTAATTTCCTAAAAGCACTACGAATGCACAATGACCAAAAACTACAGTGGCGGAAATGAAATTATAGAAGACGGTGGTTGGCATTGCTTGTTGGGAAAGGCAATGGGAATGGGAAGGGTGCAGACCAAAGCTGTTCCTAGTGCTGCGAATCAGCATCAGCTCGTAATGAGCTGGAATGAAAAGTTGCCAAGTTTATGTGACCCGACTGAGCAACTTGCTGACAAATTGTTGCAAAAATTTAATTACTTGCAAATGAGTTGTGAACACGAGGCAGCTGCCAAGAACTTTGCTTCCAGCATCATTAGGCTAATTAAATGGGCATTACCCAACACTGGCTAACGAAACCAACTGTGACATGGAATCGAAGACGATGACGCAATAGAATAGACGCTAATAGAAATTAGAATGTAAATGAAAAGGCAAACGTAAACGGTGACGGAAATGGAATTGGAAATTGAGATTGATAAAGAGATGCATGCAATTAAGTAATTAGCTCCATTCGAATGCAGTGTTTCTTCTTCTTTTTGTTTTGATAGATAGACAAAAAAGCATCAAAGCAAGTTTCATCGTGAAGCTTTTAAAGTTCTTGCTAGTTGACAATCAGTTGATAATTCGAAAATTAAAAACTCATTCCTTTGACAAGAAGAAAAATGTTGGTTGGAAATGAAAGTAAACAGAGGGCAGCTCCCATATGACTTATGCCAAATGCAATTTAATAATCTTTAAAGTTTAACAGGCAGATCAGCTAACAAGTGCACGAATAAAATGAATGGAATTTATTTTTTGCAAAAATACCCGTTAAATTTGATGATAAAGGAAAGAAAACGGTAAACTTTAGCCATCAGAAAAATTTGAGAACTTGTAAAATGTTTTAGTCAAATCAAATGTCAAAGTCTTTGTTAGCAATTGATATACAGCAGAGTACAGTAAGGAATATTATTTTTCCAGCAAAGTCAATTCACTAAAGTTGTACAAAGGCTTTCAAATTAAAGTTTCGCAAAATTCGATAGAAATTTGAACTAACAAGATTTTAACACACAATGTCTGTGAGCTGACAACTTAATTTAAATGTAAGCATTACATAAACAAAAATTTAATTGTAAATGTCAAGGTTAGCACAAAAGTATATACTCTAGTCGAATCTGGGCAAGTTTAACCTTTTGCTAATACGTGACAGCGTGAGAGAAAAGTATGAAAACAAGAATCTTGTTCTCTAAGTGATTCATCCTCTCTTCAATTGATATCGGGACGTATATTTAATCGAAAAACTAATGTGATCTGCACGGAAAATGCGTGGAATTGATTTTCACATCCTGTTTATATATTGACATTAAAAATTTGGAGCTTAAATGCAATTGGAAGCTGCTGCAATGGAAGCTCGAGATGCACGCATTCTTTATATAAATATAAATTTATCCTAATATTTATAATTATTATTCTGACGTAGGGCATTTAACAGTCGTCGAGACTTAAGCAAAGAAAGAATATTAATTTTAGGGCTACCCATCAAAATGTCAAACATTTTAAACATTAATGCATTTTGATAGTTTTTCAACTTGACTTCGTTAATTGGATTTGCAGAGACTACGCAGTAAAAATAAACATGGCTGAAAAATGATGAGAAAAAATTAAAAACAAAAATACCTAAAAAAAACAGCTAAAAAACCAAACTCATTTTCATATGCAAAGAGACAGCTCAACTACGCACAGCACAGTGTGTAAGTGCGCGTGTGCGTATGTGTGTATGTGTGTGTGTGGGTGTGTGTGTGCGTGTATCTGCATAAATTCAAAAGTTTTGCACATTTCTTTATTTATTTATATCGTTGTGTTTGTCTTTTCCGTCCCTTTGCAACAACAAGCAAACAAAAAATAAAATGAAATAATAAACAATAAAATCAACAATAAAATATTGCATAATTTGTTAAGTAATTTAGTAAGCAGCTAAAAATAGACGCAGCTCGTCAGGAAAAGATTTGTTTGGGAAATCGATGAATTTTGCTGGTGAGCAAACGAGGGCGAGCCGTGGTAGGAGTAGGCCACATTGATGCCACAAATATGCTGCCATTTTAGTTAAGCAAGACAAATGGCGGACACACGTTGCCAGACGTTGCCTGGTTTACAGTTTTTAAAGGCGCTGCAGCAAGTGCAGTCAGCTTGGGGTGTGTGCGTGTGTCTATGTGTGTGTGTGTGTCTGCGTATGTAAGGGTCTGTTTAGGGTGTGCCGATTGTCCATATGAGCTGTGGCTAGTGGCAGCTCATAAATGTCAGCTCGCTAGATGTAGATGTACTGAGTTCCATTTTAAGGGTACCACGCCCCACACCTTTCCAAAAACCGAAAACATACAAGTAAGTGCAATAGTTGCTAGTGCTCAACTTGAAGATACCCTGCACGCAGCATCAATATGCCGTTACACATCTTCGGAGTTTCTTTGAAACACACAAACAAGCACGCACTTTGTGCAACAGCAGTGCTTTGTCCTCCTTCAGCTGTACACCAAGCAGCATGCATTCTCCATGCATGCATTCTCCTTCAAGAGATATACCTCTGTGATCTACCGGCCAGACGAAATTTTGAAGTGCTATAATTTTTATAAGTCTATGCTCACAACACCAGCACTGCAACTACCCCTTATATACCCTATAACCTACACAACCTTGTGACTGCACGACATTTGCCTAATCGATTGCTTGTTGGAGTTCGGAAGGTACTCAAATCCATATTTATCGATATTATATACATTAAAGGATATGATATATAAGAATCTTTATTTCAAATAAAGAGCTCCTATAGTTTTCAAACTAGATGAGACAATCGGACGGGGAAACGACGCTGGATGCCTCCGCTCGTCATCCTGCTTAATTGAACTACTTCGTATGTTCGCGGATGTCTTCTAAGATCTGCGCCCAACAATTACACCCCTTTTTGATGGTTGCAGGGTATAAGAAAAAGAGAAACTCAACTGACAAATAACTCAAAAGTGATTGATGATGGTCATGACATGCTGACACATATAAATGCCTGCAAATGGAGCTCAAGACTCTGCCGTTGACGTGTCGCCTGCCATATACACCATATAGAGCATATAGCATAAGCCTTCAGCCATATTCCGTTACCGTTACCGTTGCCGTTACCCATGTCTCACACATTAGCTCGGAGATACTTAGACCCTTCACCCCATTCCGCCCTTTGGCATTAAGTGTTTCGGGCTTTTGTTTTTGCAATATGCGTGCGTGATTTTTGTTTTTTTTTTTCCGCTTTGGCGTGCATCATTATTCATCAACCCAAGCATACCCAGGCTCATGTTACTTAAGAGGGCTGGAATGGGCGGGGCGCTGCCAAATAGTTTGCCGTGATTATTGCCATTCATTGACTATGTTTGATAACAAACTCGGGCATGATGGCCGCTGGCTGGTGGCCGCAGGCTAACAACTGACAACTGACGGCTGGTAGCTATAAGCTGCTGGCTGTTAAATGATGTCAATTGACCCCACCGCCGCCCTGCAAACACCTCTGCCGCACAGGGGCTTTCTTTACATTCAGTAATTACCTGAAGTTCAAACTTAAAACAGGCGCCGGCAGCTAGATGCTCGCTTGCCGTTGATGTCCCTGTTGTCGAAGCTTTTTAAACTGCTGCATATCTGCAGGCAAACACAGTCATGAGTGAAAGAGAGAGAAATAGAGAAAAAGAGAGAGAGAGGTAGAAAAAGAGTGACAAAGACAGAGAAAGAGAGAGAGAGAGACCGCGAGTTGCTGAAGGTAAGCGAAAAGCAGATAAGTAGTTGCCATTTGTGCCAAAACCAGGTGCCAGTACAGACGACGGCAATTTAAGGCCACTTAAATTTTAAGAACTAAATACTTTGCGAGGCACAATTTTCAAATTTTGCTTAATTATTTAAAATGCAGCTACATTTGCTTTAAGAGAATGACATTTATAATTCCCTGAAGACGCAGAACAGTTAATGATAAATAATTAAGAACTTGGAAGGAGGAAACCTGCTTGAACCGAAGCAAATGGAAATTCCATTCCATAAGCCACACCTTGAGCTAAATTTTCTGTTTAAGGAACAACCGTACCTAAGCCAGAGCAAAAAAATGTTTACCCAAAAATAGTTTGCTTCAAAAGAACTTGTTTTTCGGATATTTAAACAGATTGTTGCAAAATGTTAGAGGCTTAACATAGCAGCATGAGCAATAACGACTTAAACTATTACCATAATAATATTAAATATTAAAAATTAATGTACAATTTAAAATATTTAATATAGCACAAAAATGAATTAGTTTAAATGTTGAGGTGGGTTTGCTTTTTGGGTTTTTAGTGCACAAAACCCAAATTTTCGTTTATGGTAAAAATATGTGTGAATAAAGACTGAAAATTTAAAATGTTGCAATAATATTTCTTATTATTTAATTCTAAAGCATTTTTGGAAAAAAGTAAATGATTTATTTTGGACAAACATAAACAATATATATATAAATATGTGGCAGTCAATTTGTAATCCAATCCGATGTTCTTAAGTAAGAAACTAATAACTGTAAAATGTTTATAGCCCCAATTTGTAGTCATGTGTGGGAATGTCGCATCTTCATTCAACTGATGTTGAACCAGAGATAAGCATTGCGTTTACAAATTGCTGGTTATTCCGTGTTAATCCGTCTCACGCTATCCGAACCCCTATCCAGGCTACCCATAAATTACTCCCAACTTACACAGGAAAAAAAAGGAAAGCGGTTTGTCATTCACAATGCACCATTCAGCAACCGCCATTCACAATTTCATTGCAGCAGCAGAAGCAGCAGCAGCAGCAACACTTCAAAACTGATGACACTATCAATTTGGATGGTACCCAGTCGTACGTGACAACACCCCTAATCCTGCGATCCCCCCATCCCTACACATACTGTGCACAGTCTACCCCTCTCAGGCACTGCTCGGTGAAGCATTGCAATGCCATTTTCATGCTTTATTTGCGGCTGGCCTCGCACAAATTGATGTTTTTGAGCTTTGTTGCCGCCGTTGTTGCCGTTGCAAATATATAGCCGTAAAGCATAGAAATGCAGTCGGTTCCCTTGACAAATTTCACTTTTATTATACACTTTGTTGCTGCTTCTTTCTGTGCGCATGTTTGCTGGCATTTGCACATAATCAAAGATCGCTTCCTGACACTTTTCACATGCCACATAGCCACATAGCATGCATAATAAAGAAAATGTAAGTTGAGTGCTGAATATCCCATTATTCGACATAGTAGTAATGAATTATAGTTAATATTTTACAATCTAACAATTGCAAATATAGACGAGTACAATACATTTTCGCACGTGAAACAGATATCTCTTCAAACCAAATCCAAACAACATCCATGACAATTCCGACCGTCAATAAGACATGAATTGTTTTGGTGTCTTTTAAGCCTCTAGTGTTTTGTCAGGTAAACGTTATGGATTTTCTGAATATTCTGCATACTTCGCAACAATAAAAATGCCAACTGAGTATAAATTATCACCATAGACTAATGAGTAGTAAGTTTTGTTTAATTTTTTCCCCTCATTTATAAACAGCTTAATCAGACAATATTACGTCGTAAAAGCAGAAGTGAACTTGTTTATAAAATTTATAAAAGTTATACATGATTTGTGTTTAACGATGAGGTTAACATTTGCTATGGTCTATGCTGCAGGCTAGCATATACGCATATTCATATACATTGAGCATTTATTATGCTTAGTTAACAAGCAGACTTGTTTGTGGAAACCCAAATGCAATCTTTCTTCGCAAACCAAATGTCCCGAAACACAAGTAATTTGTGTCATACCCAATATAATTATATATGAACTGGAGGATAGCACGTGCCGTTTTTAATTGCTTATTATATATTCCTATTTATACATGTATTAAAATAAATGTAAATATTTACTTACACGAACATTTCATATTCACAAGCATAATTAATTGCCAAGTGCTTTTAGGAGGGAAACATTGTCCATATATCCATCGCTGAAAGAACAAAAGAAGTAAAAATTAAGCAAAAGCAAGAACATGAGATAGAAAGAGGGATAGAGAGAGAGAATCGAGAGAGACAGAGAAAGAGAGAGAGAGAGAGAAAAAAAAAGGTTGTAAAACCCTAAAATACTCATTTGAAACTAATGAGAATTGCATAGTAGAGCAGTATTTTAACTTAGTTCAATTTCACACTCTACATAAGAACTAAAGAAGCACGCGTATTTTCATCGCCATACCATCGACAACCATTTGAAACGGGATTTACCGATTATAGAAAATCCAACTTAACCCAACCACCGCCAGTTAATACCCACTAGCGTTTATTCTATACCCGCAATCAGAGTGAAAACAAAAGCGTATAGTAAAGTTGTGCAAACGTTCGAGCCCGGCAGAGATACGAATATATACACAGCAAATAGACGTTCTGCTATTAAATTTCTAAATAAATAGCAATAGAATAAGCTTTGATTTCTTGTGCAAGTATATTTTCGCACATATGCTTGTATTCTCGGTTGCATATGCTTGTATTTGAATTGTGCAATGATATATAACCATTTTACAGGGTATCAGGCAATCGCTAAGACAGTGGCCTTTGCATACTTTTCAGAAAGAGCATTAGTGATTCGTTGTACTGTTGGCCTTTTGTTTATTTTCTATTGCATACTTTTATGCGAAGCGCCAAATTGTTTTCGGCTGTCGCTGCGGACACATCCTTAGGCCTGCGTCCTTGGCACTGCTCCTTGTAGATACTCGTAATGTGGGGGTTGGGAAAATTAAATTCATTTTCTATGCGCTTTTCATTCGTCTTTCGCCTGAGCAGCAATCGATTATGCGGCGTTAGACATGTTGGTTGCCACTAGCTCAGCCTCCGTCCCTGCCTCTGCCTGTGCCTCTGTCTTTGGCATTGCCACGCCCATGCCAGCAACAGCAAAAGCACCAGCAGCAGCGCTTGCTTTTGGCTGCCACCTGATTAGCATAATTTGATGTGTGAGCGGCTCGGCACGTGGCCCGTACCCGTGCCTGTGCCTGTGCAAGAGCCAGTGCCAAGGACATGCGCGAAAAGTGAAAACAAGCCCCGCCAGCCCTCGTTTCCATTCTTAGAAGAAAATCGTTCGATTTTCAACTAAATTTTTTTGAATCAACGACAGCATTGGTGACATGTCATCATCAGCATCAGCCGGGAACACGCGACAACTTCATTTTGTGTTCTCAATTTTTTTCTCATTTATTGTGTGCTGTGTGTATGTGTTTTACCAGAGGGGTGTGCGATGCCAAAAACTGACAGCTGAAAAGTTGAGCAAAACTGACTTGAAAATCAAAAGGTGTGCCATTTAACTGGGACGGTTTGCCTCCAGGGAGCCAGAAAGCTGTTGCATTCATGATTGCAGCCAAGTCGTTCGCAAAAACTTTAAGTTTCGGTAAAAAACCAAAAGTTATTCATTTGTTGTCATGTTTCAAATTTATCGCAGAGCACAAGAACGCGCTGGGCAGGACTAGTATCCCACTAGTTAGTATTCAGCATCTGCTCTAGTACCAAAAATGTATATAAAATTAGGCAAATATATATGTATATTTGAATAAACAGCAAAAATTAACATTTTGAAATTAGTTTTCTTTTTCAGTTTTTTAGGGGAGCATCTGGATCTGTGTAAACTATGTGAAAGCCGACATATCAAATTTGTTGTCTCTAGCTTCTATGCTTTATGAGTTTTGCATAAGATACCTTGTTTTAAACCGATATTTTTTAATATATATTTCAAATCTCTTATATATAAAAGACTTTATGCTTTTTTTTTTTTATTTTTGTATCTCTGGTTTCCACCCATTCACATGTAAATTGCGTGAAATGAATGTCTTGTTTTTCGATTGATTCTAAGTGACTGTTTTTTTTATTTTTTGTTTCTTTCAGAATGTCAGATCTCAATTTGCAGGTTGATTGATTAACGAATGGTGGCATGTATGGTAAGGGAACAGGGAATCGGCTGAATCTATAAAGCACCCATCTTGCTGTGCGCCCCGTCCCGACATGCATATGGCCGCCGTCTGGTTGTCAACACAATGCCAACGACCAGGCTATGAAATGTTGATGGAGCTGAATGAATTTGGCGGCTTGGTGGCCCTTTAAAGCACTTTTCAGGGCTGCGAGCACCATTAAAGCTCGTCGCACGCACAGACAATGCAAAGCTGCTCAGGAAGCTGACTGGCAGCGGCGGCGAGTGGAGCCATTAAATTTGATATACGACAATAAGCGAGGATAATGCGTCCAATGCGAGCCAGTGTCAGGGTCACCATGGCGCAAGTAGAAACTTTATGTCTTGATGCCAGCATCAGGGCAAGCTGGCGGCCAAGCGACAAATGATCTACTAATAAACCAGCCCTCAAACTAGACCCAACTAGCTGCATGCAGCGCCAAATGCAATGAACTTCACGGGAACTGCAGCACATTTTATAGGCCGTGAAACAGGTACCGCTGGGGGCAGAGCTAGGGCACAATCAGGCACAGTGTACAAGAATTGTGTTCGATGCTATCTGAATGTATATATAGATAAGACACGTTTAGTGTAAGCTGGGTTTTAGTCAAGCAAAGTTGCCACTACACCGTAAATAGCAAAAATGCATTTATTTAGCTCTTTTAAAATATATCACAATTTATGTACTTTTTAGCTGTAGGGTCTTTGGCTGATTTGCTCCACTGTGCATAACTTGAGCTTATGTTTTTGTGTACCAAGTGCTTTGCAAGGCGCTTGGTGGCCACTTTAATAATATAAATGGACGATGCTTAAACCTTTAAGATGCCAATTACAATGAAAATTGATTTTATTTCGCATTCCTTGCTGCTTTTGGCTTTGCTACACATTCCACTCATACCCTACAGCCCATAAAATGGCCAAGAGACAGTATATATCTTAATCAGTATCAAGTGATCTTTGAGCAGGGGTTGCACAATTTGCCATGATACGCAGATGTTCAGATACAGATACCGGCCATAAAAATGTGCTCAACTATAAAAATAACTATAAGAATATACATATTTCTGATATATTATATGCAAATTAAGCAGGTGCGATACAAATGCAACAGGGTGTTGATTACAGAGTATCTAGTTGTCGAGAATACACTGTTGTAACGCTTTTACTGATTTTGGTTTTGCTTTTAGCTGCAGAGGCTTTTTACTGGTCCAAGGACTTAAATCGTTTTTGTTTTACTGTGTGTGCTAGTGTGTCTGTGTGTGTGTGTGTGTGTGTGTGTGTGTGTGTGTGTGTGTGTGTGTGTGTGCGTGTGTGCGCTTGCGTTACCCGTCGGCCAAAGTGCCGAATGTACATAATGCCAGTGGATTAGGGCATAGTTTATCAGCGTTTTCAGTGACAATGTCAAGGTCAAGCTCATAAGCGCGTATGACAACAGTACTAAGCTATGTGTATGTGTGTGTGTTTGTGCGCTATTGTCATTAGCTTTGTGTGCGTATGTGTGTCTGCATCACAAATAAATTTGATATTAGCTGCCGTCCCCGCAATCGGAACAGCCGCCAGCTGTTGAGCCACTTGGACGCCTCGATATTAACATACAATTATATCGAACGACAATCAAATGCAGGCTGAATAAATAGGACTATATCGTCTACAACACAGCACAGCACAGCGTCCTGGCCATGTCCTTGGCCTTGGCAATTTATCATGGTAATGGGCCAACACGTGCTCAAAGTCGTTGTTTTGATTTAACGATCTCGTTTTGCTGCAATCAAAGTATCAACACACACATGTGTGTGCGTGTGTGCGTTGTCTGCGTCTGACCAGTGGACAGTGGCTGGCTGTCTGGCTGGTCAGACAACAATAAAAATAAAAGAAATACACAAAACAACTACAACAACAACAAAGTATCAGTCGAGACATCGAAATCTGCTTATTTACTTAATGCGTCCAGCGCGGTAGTAAAATTGCGCTCGACGCGTGCGATTCGCTGCCAGAGCGAAAGAAGTGCTAAGCAGCTTTTTATTATTATGACGAAAAGGCTTCTTTTTTCAGACAATTTGGGGCAGGCTTAGCGCTGCCAAAGATCAGTCGACAGCAGTGAAATTTTGGCCAACCACGTGTTTTTGCTCGCCCTACAAAAAATATAATGGGCCTTGGCGCTGAAAAGTATGCTACGACATTCGGGTACATTGTTTGAACACGTACAAGATTGTTGCCGCTGCCACACGCTGTTTTGGCTGCTGCGCTGTCATGTTTTATGAGAATATAAAGTAGCAACATTGTTGCAGGCAACCATTTAAACAATCCTCATGCATTTGCAACAGAATCTGGACAACTGAATTTATGTTCATGCCACATGTAGCAACAAGACAACAACACATCTTTTTCGAACTTAACTTTCGTGTTAATTTTACAATGCCAGTCTCTCCATATTCATCTCAATTAGACGGCAAAGTAATTCAAGTCTTATATAAACTTATTTCATTGGTTTTGTGCTATAAATTAGAACGTGAAGCTTAGAACATGGTTGAAAGCCCGTTGCTTGTGGCTTGCATAGGAAATCTATTTTGGAAGAGCCTGTCATATTTTTCAATAAGTTAAAGCAAAGTGGTTGACTGAGTTATTAAGTTAAAATAATTCTTAATATATTCCTCTTTTTTTTTGTAAGAGTTGAAGGCAACTACAAATTAAATCCAACTAAATTAAGCAACTGAATCATATAAACAGATATGCTTGTTACCTGGGCTGCACTTCAATGTACTTCTCTAACAAGGACCTCATTTGACTAGAAAATATATGGCATGCTTACTCAGTTTTTTTTATTAACCTACGCTTCTAAATTATTCTCAGGCTACCCCTAGAATTTAATAAAAGAATGCCCTAATTGGCAATTAAATAATTGGAATCGAAATAGAATTGCATTTCTGATTGCATATCCTTGTAGCGCTTTGTATGTTAATAATCTGTAATAAGCTCAAAACTATCTTAGAAAAGAAATCAACTAATTGGACACAATTAAACGAC